TTTAACCTGAATACTAGTATCCTAAAAATATAATAATAATAATAATAATAATAATAATAATAATAATAACAATAATAATATTAATACAAATAATAATAATAGAGCTGTATTTTAAGTATTTTCTAAAATATTAAATTATTTTTGAATTCCCTTTCTACATGCTGTAGTGAACAAAGGAGAGGTGACTTACAATTTTAGAACATCTCACGTAGAAAATGATTTATAATATCCAGGACCATACAGTATGATCAAAGTTACAGCATGGTATGATTAGCTTTAACTTTATTACAAAAAGTATAACACTGGAGGTGTTTGAGGACTTTAAAAAAACAGCTCTTGCGGATATAATAACTTTGACATGGGCTTTGTACTTAATTAACTTACATACCTTGCATTAACAAACATTATGCAGTAAAGAAAGTATTTCAAAAACACTTTCATATGTGAAGTCAATAATAAAGCTAGCAGAGGATTCCCATATGGGATATACATCTTGGAAAAGCTGGTATTGCAGAAAAAAACAACAAAACAACATTATGCTTAGCTATATGCAAATATGTCATACAGAACTGATTCTCATTCGAATTCTCCACAGAAAAGCAGATGAATGAGAGATGGAATGAACAAGAGTTTTTTTGAGGACTCAAAGCTTCTTTAATGAGGCCAAAGGAGATACGCCTGCAGCTGGAGAAAGCCATTTGTGCGGTGAAATGACACAGAGGTACTCACACAGTACAGCGGTTTTCCAATCCTGCATGTAGGATTAACACACTGAGTATGCAAAAAAATAAAATAAATAAATTCTAGGAAGAAAAAAATGAAGTAAATTTCAGATGAGAGGGTTTCTAACTGCTGGAATATGATTTACAATGGCAGGTTTACAAAGACAATGCTCATACTGCCAGCAAAAACAGCACAATTACAGAAGATGGTTTCTGTGCATAAGAAAAATGATGTTTTGGAAATTTATGAATAGCTCTGTAATACTGCGGGAGGAAAATATCAATTATAACATTTGCTTCTTTGTTGCAACACCCTTTTGGACAATAAAACGACAACAGGTAACACACTGAGATCCTGAAAATGTGCAATGCATTCTGGGAGAGATGTTTATGTGTCCATTGTCATAACTGATGTACATAGGAGGTTAACAGGTTAAACAAATAAGTTCTAGAACATATTTGGAATATAATAGTTAAAAAAACTGCAGCCATTAACATAATAGAAGATAGTTACCGGTTCGCAACATTCTTCAAAATTTCTTCTTTTGTTTTCAGCAGAACAAACAAAACTCATACTAATTTGGACCCATAACACTCTGATATTTAAAGGCTCAAAAGTAAAGTACCCTGGAGTACTTTTTTTTTTTTTAGATTTTAACAAACTTGTGTGTGTTGAGCATCAGTTAAGACAATGTTAGCGCTGTCAGCATTAATTGTGGGATAAAGTTGATAATCAGTCCTGCTACGGCACACAGTAGTTAGCAGTTTATGAAGGCTTGTACCTATGTGTTTGTTTCCATGATGCACAGGGTTTGTTGCATGGTTTTCCCCGTGATGCTGTCAGGGCTGATACAGAAAAGCTGTTTGTGTGCAGCAAGCATTTTTGTTGGGAGAGCTGTACGAGAATTGGAGAACGGCGGACTTTATATTTTATCAGTTGAGTTTGTTACCATTCAGACAAATCGCCTGTATCCGAGCTGTTGTGTTCGCCTAAATCCTCCAGATACTAGCAGGGCAATGTTTGGAATAGACAGGGCAAAATACCTGCTGCACTGCTATGCACTGTGTATTCTTTCCTCTGTTCGCAGAGCTCCACTCACCCCATGATGAATTCATTTATTTTTTTAATTTGAGGTAGACCTAAACTGATAAGGGGGAGTTTTATGGCCCTTTAATACAGAAATGTCTGCTTTGGGTAAACTATCCCTTTAATGGTGAAAAAATGGTGATCTAATTTACATTTTTGGGTGAACTATCCTTTTAAAGTCAGCTCTCATTGGTCAAATAAAAGTCTCCCGTCACTGGTCAACAGAGCTGGTTTTTCACCATGGCTCCATCTTAGACCGAGCCTGCCAATTTGATTACAGTGATGCAGAATGGATTCACACCGGTTAACATTTCAATTGAGAACGGAGGCACGTAATCTGCTTTAAATGCATCATCCCATAATGAGTGTAATCTCATCCTCACGCCGGGTTGTTATTTCACCGTGTGCCGGAACAGTTGCTCGATGAGAATTTGGCCGGCTGCAGGGTTTTAATGTTTTAACAGCGTGACCGGGAAAACCTCTAGCAGCAGGTCTGTGTCGCCAGCTGAATTCCAGGGCAGGAACAGGCAAGGTTGTGGAGCGTTTTGCTCAACCTACAACCTGATTAATAGCTGCCATTAAGCTGAAGCCCAAAGCTCTGAGTTACAACAAACCAGCACCCATCTCTTGAACTCAGCCAATCCATTCACAGCAGACAGATTAAAACGCTTCTAAGGTGGTGGAACCGAGCAAACTTAAACAGAACTGATGTCAAACAGAACAAAGAGTTCTCAACATGGAGTTCAGATGACCTTTTCATGACATTCCAGCTCTATATGAAGCATTCAGATGCAAGTGCCATCTGAAATTATCTTCTAAAATAAGTATTGTTCTCAGGATCCTGTGTGTAGGTTCAGTAATTTTACTCTTATGGCAAATGATTATTGATGATTATTTTTTATTGGATTTAAAAGTGAACTAACTGAACACAAACATAAGAAGCTGAGAATTATTAGTAATTTTTAGACATTACTGTATTTGACAAAAGTCTTTTCGTCGATTCCAGTTGTAAGAGCAACAAATAATAACTTGACGTCTAGTTGATCATTTGGAAAAGTGGCAGAAGGTCGATTTTTCAGATGATTCATCTGTTGAACTGCATCCCAATCATCACAAATATTGCAGAAGACCTACTGGAATGCGCATGGATCCATGAATCTGATAGAAATCAGTCAAGTTGGTGAAGGTAAAGTCATGGTTTGGGGTTACATTCAGTATTGGTGCATGTGAGAGATCTGCAGAGTGGATGGCAACATCAATAACCTGACGTGTCAAGACATTTGTGCTGCCCATTACATTATAAACTACAGGAGAGGGTAAATTCTTCAGCAGGATAGCGCTCCTTTTTTATACTACAGCCTCTTCATCAAAGTTACTGAAGGTCAAGGTGCTCCAGGATTGGCCAGCCCAGTCACCAGATATGAACATTATTGAGTATGTCTGGGGTAAGATGAAGGAAGAGGCATTGAAGATGAATCCTATAAATCTTGATGAACTCTGGGAGTCCTGCAAGAACACTTTCGTTGCCATTCCAAATGACTTTATCATTAAGTTATTTGAGTCATTGTAGAGATGTATGGATGTAGTCCTCCAAGCTCATGATGTCAATACACAACATTCATTTTTTTCCCACTGCACCATGATTTTTTTCTAAGCAAAGTCAGACCTTACTGTCCTGATTAAATAATTAAAAATCAAGGCATGATCATATTTTATTTTGGTAAAATTAACATAATCTAGAGGCCTTTGCCTTTCATATATGCCACTTCTGATACCAAATGAGGAAGTCAAGTTATTATTTATTGTTCCTAAAACTGCTCAGACTTTGAGCCTTTAAAAAATATTTTACAACTAACTGCTAAAATACATTCATATAAAATCTAAATTTTACCATTTAATCATCTTAATTATCAGGTAGTATTTCACAATTGTACAAAAATATTATTATTTGATTTTTAAAAGGTAACTTGTTTTGTTCTGCACATAACAAACTATTTAAATAAATGTTTTTATTTAATTTATATTTTTAATTTAACAAGATGATTTTAATGAATAGGCAAATGCTAGCTAAATGTATTCATGTTTATATATGTACAGTGCTCAACATAATTGAGTACACCCCATTTTAAAACAATAGTTTTATCAATTTCTCAGTGAATATGGGTTATATGTTTTGGTGCTTTTGAACAAAACATATTTATTAAATGGATATATTTATTAAAATAATATTTTAGGCACCAGGTATAGTTAGAAATAGAAAGATTATACACATAAATTCATGCGAAAGTTTGAAAAAAAATTACAAACATAACAAACAAATTACAACATTTTAACAGAATTGTATATATTTTTTGTTTCACTTGAATTCTGCTCTTTTAATTGTTTTATTTAATATTTTTACATAACATACCTTAGGACCATTATTGAAAGTTACTTTGTTAGATTAGCTCAAATTTGGCATCAGTACTGACTAATCTAATGTAAATGCACAAGTACACTATATTGTAAAGCTTCCTATAGAAAATATTAATCTAAATGAGAGATTTGTGAGGGTATATGTTAAGCACTGAATGTATGTATGCGTTTATGTACTGTATGTATATTAACTTACTGTGCACAATTACATAATTAACCATTTCAAGTTATATATTCTATTAAAAACTATTATTAAGGTCATTAAATTCATACTATTTTTTTTGAGAAATCCAAAATTGGCATTAGATTAAGAAAAACACTTTAGAAATATTAGAAATATTTCGAAACTGTGATGGAAAAAGTGTAATGAAAATATATATTTCATCTTGCCACATTAGAGCTTATCCAGGTCTAATTTTATTATGATTTTTGAGTAAAAAAACCTTGTGTGAGTGTTGTGTTGTGAGGATACATGTAGTTCAGACTCAGTATTGCTTAATGACCAAAGCTAGAATGAACATTCTGTTCTCTGCATTCTGCATTTGTTCTAAAACTGAACATATGCAATATACTTGGATATAATGTAATTTCCTTGGGACATTTTTTTGCCTTTGTCCAGCCTGAAGGCTATTAGTCTAGCCGAAAAATCAACAGCCACATCCAAATAGATAGTCACCTCACAAATAAACATACATTCTAAATAGACATTTTTTGAAGCCAAAAGTCAAGGCAGTATTTCCATGGATGTTTACAAGCTGTGAAATCCCAAGTCTTACCTTTGCGATCTGCACACACCAGTTGAGCAGCAGCTGTGAGCCGATGTTGTCCTGGTGTTCATGAACGTAGTCCAGCAGGCAGCCGTGGGGCATGAGCTGAGTGACCAGCTGAATAGTGGGACTCAAGCAGACCCCTAAAAGACGCACCAGATGAGGATGCTCCATACTGGCCATGATCAGCGCCTCCTGGTGGACAGAGATACAAGAGATCCGATCAGGGAAATTACATAATAATTGCACAATGTTGCTGGACACACACAGAATTTCTATAGACCTAACAATTTTTATGCTATACAAAATGTATGTAACCACTGAGCCACCCCAATTCAGTTGTTTAAATACAAATTTTAATATACAAGTAGTACAAATGTAGATGTAAAAAACCCTGACTTATTATTACAAGATGTATAATATATAAATCTAAATTACCATTGGCACAAGCCCTATACAAAAGATAACAAGTCTACTGTATTCTCACTTACAGTCCAAATGACCTCAGTGACTGTCTATCTCAGTTTTCCACATGTTTCATAAAGAGAAACATCTCTATAAATGCACATACAGTACATACATATTTATGCGTTATATCAGAGAGAGGCAGGGGTGAATATGGATCTTTCATGAGCAGCTCAGCATCAGCCTGCCTGCTTATGTATGTGCACAGATAACAGCAACACAAACATGCAGAAGGAATTCCCTGGCAGCCGCAGCACATGATGCTGCGTTTTGATGGCTTTTTAAAGGAGCCTGACCTCTTGCTGAATCTCAGGAGAGCAAAACAGGGGGAACGAAAGACTGGCTTGGAAAAAAAAGGAGATGTATAGTGATACCGAAGTACATGCAGTGAAACCGAAATGTCGGTTTAAATTTGGAATTATAAATATCATAAAAATAAAAAGTTGATTAACCTAGTGGTTGGTTTTGTCAATATTTTACCCAAAATTAAATTGAATTAAACCAACCTTTTTTTAGATAGTATGTAAAAGTACTTTAAGGTAGTTTACTCACATCCATGAACTCCACATTGGCTTTTGGTCCAGTGCTTTCATTGAGTATCTTTATGGCCACAGGAATCTTCACTGTTTCCCCTTCTGGAACCCAGATTCCCTTTTAAAGAAGGCATCAGAATCAGTCAATAACCTTTCACACCATATAAAGCAACACATTCTGACAGGCAGACAGCAACCCACAACCAATGTAGAAGCGCTACCTTATAGACCATGCCAAAGGCTCCAGCTCCCAGAATCTTGACCCTCTTGAGTTCCGTTTCCTTCAAGATGCGCAGCTGAGCCTGGTTTGGTGCTGCACCGCTGGGCGTCAAGGGCTCCACCAACTGCTCAAACAATCCAGTCTTAGATTAGTCACAACTCCAAACACACACAACTCCCAAACAAGCGCTTAGAAGTCACATTTAACCACATTTTCAGAATTAAGTTTGTTTACGCAGAAGTTATTGGGCCTCAGGAGGGGAAAAAAAGGATGATACTAGATATTTGGAAAGCAAACAGTTGGGAAGTGAACTGCACTGGTGAAGATGAGAGAGAGGAGAGAGAAAGGTTGAAGAGGATTTACACAGACATAATTGCTAAATACAAAGTGGCATTTGTAGTTTCATTAGGGCTGGAGCTGGCTTGCTGTATTAAAAAAATAACTGTGTGTAGGTGTGTGTGGAAGACTTGGATTTGTTTAGCTTGTTTTCAGTAATAAACTAAAGATCCGTTTTGGAAATACGATTTTAGAGGTTTTTGGTTAATATAAGCATGAGGGAAATTAACATATAAATTATTAAAAATGTACCCAGTGATGAAAATGCTTCAAATAGATCAGACTAGACCAAAATATGACAGGTCTAAACCCCATTTCAAAGTTTGTAAAACCCAATATAAATGTGCAAAGGGTTCTATTTTAAATTTTCCAACTTTGTCCCCACACCAAAACACTCCTACTACTACTACTACTACTACTACTACTACTACTACTACTACAACTCCTACTACTACTACCATTAAAAACAACAGCACCACTAACACTAACCCGACTACTACTACTAACAACACTAACCCTACTTCTACTACTACTACTACTTCTACTACTGCTACTACGACTATTACTAACAACAACAACAACAACAACAACAACAACAACAACAACAACAACAACAACAACCAGTAATGTTAGCCCTACTACTACTACTACTACTACTAAAACTACTACTATTAATACTACTACTACTACTACAACTAATACTACTACTACTACTACTACTACTACTACTACTACTACTAATAATAATAATAATAATAATAATAATAATGATAATAATAATAATAATAATAATAATAATAATAATAATAATAATAATAATAATAATAATCTGCATATGTGTCATTCTAACAATATGTGAATAAGTATATTTGGTTATCCATCTATCAAGACTAACTGTTACTGTGACCATCAATCACAATGCAAAACAAACAAGGAACCACAGACTGAATGCACAAATGTGGAGCTGTCCATCTATGTGGTGCTGAAATTCTGCATTTAGACTGAGCATTAGAGGGAGCTGTCCAGACGTGTGGTGCTAAAAGAGAACACATCTGTCAAACAAAGGATTTCAGGTCCACTGTAAAAAGATAGTGTACAGATGATTGAATCTTATTATAAAGCTTTAATTTATGATGAAGTAAAGGTAAAATTTTGGTCTATTATTAATAAGTATGCTCATGAAATGAGAGTCTATATAGGGAAAGGTGTTGAAAAGGCTTTGATGCAGAAACATGCAGCCTGTATTTTTTAAAATGATTCTTTCCCCCAAAACATAAATGATCCAATCATATTGTCTAGCAATTCTAGCTATATAAACCTTTCTTTTTTTATACAATTACAATCAGGGTTATCTTAAATAATATGCTGTCTCTTCACTGAATGGCAGTGAATAATGGATGAGTTTCTAAAGCTCAAACAATCCATTGGGTGACTTTTTAAAAAGAAAAATATCCATTTTAAATATGTGCTATATGCATGTTTCAAACAGGGTCAAGTCGCAACATATGACACAGACAATTTAAAACATATTGCCATTAGAGTCAGTAGCACAACATACAAGTGTCAGATTCCCTTCTGTGTTAGACCTTTGCTTTGTTGTTTTGCTTGTTTATGTTGCCTGCTGCCTGCCCTCATTGAATATTGCCTATGTATTTGACTACGTTTCTGGATTTGCCTGCATACATCTGTTTGCCCCTGTGTTGACAGTTGCTTGCCTGACTATCTTTGTATAATAAACCCTGCTTTTGGATCCTCATTTCCTTTTCAACGTCCCTATTCACTAAACAACTTTTACAGCATGCGCTAAAAAAAAAAAAAAAAATATATATATATATATATATATATATATATATATATATATATATATATATATATATTATTTCAAATAGTATAAAACGAGCTTGCAAAACTGCTGTAATAAAAACTTTCTTGTGCATTAATCGAGCATTTAAAATAATTCATGAATGACTAAAGCTTTAAACACAAGAATAAATCATATTTTAAACATAAAAACAATTATTTTTAATCAAAATAAATGTTTTATCAAATAATGTTTTATCACTCTTTGAATCTGAACCTTTTAGGCTTGGGTCTAAATTGCGCCATTTTGATGACGGTCGCTTTAAATTCAAATGAGATTTTCAAAAGAGGGTGGAGCTAAAAATGCCTGTGTCAGCATAGTGTCAGATTCAAAAACAAGACTAACGTCGTATGCTAATGAGGAAAAGATGGTCACTACTGGGCGGGGCTTTCCCCCTTTGGTGACACGTACAAAAGGAGAACTTCAATCAAAGTATTTCTTTTTTAAAAAACATAAACAATTTTTTTTTACAATTAAAAGCTGGTTATAATTACAGATTGTTGTGTTTAAACCCCTTATAAAAGTGATTTTTGCATGATAGGCCATCTTAAGATACAGCATAATACAGGTACTGTGAGAGGCTGGGAGGTCTGGAAGTCTTCTTATTCCTTGTCTTCTTGGCAAACACACATCACTTTTCTACATGAACAGAGACCTCAGGTTTGCTAAAATGGATTTGGGGATTCTAGTGTGCAAGTGTCTCTGTCAGCTTTTGGATACAGGTTCTGTTCTCAGGCTGACAGCTGTCTATAACACTGATGCTCCACCTGCAAATTATCCAAACCAGCAAAGACAGGCCATGTTTTTTAATGGGCTGCACAGTCATTCAGGGCAACAGGGCTATGCATTAACCCAACAAACATGCCATGCATTTAGGGAAGGATTACTCCACTGAATACTTTATGTGCTGTGGACTGGGGATTTCTTTTATTTATTTTAAGCATGAAGCTTATCAAGAAATGAAACGAATGCAAAAATCTGCGGTATGGGAAGGATTTTGATAAAATGTGACAGAGAGAAGAGATACAAGACGTGATGCATAATGTATGGTATGTTTGAGTTTTAGTCAGTGCTTACTGGTTTTAGTAAATGCGGATGAGAACGCTCTCGTCTGAAGGTCTCTCTTACCTCGGTTTCCAGGAATCGACGTAAGGCTCTTTTTTTCTTGATGCTCTTTCGGCGGATGTAAACAGCCACACCGAGAGCTATGATGACTATTACAAAGAGACCCCCAATTAATCCAGCAGCAATCAGAGGAGTCCTGGAAGATCAAAAGAAGATGTACACAAGTTGTAATGCTGTCTGCTTTTTTTCCCCTTAAACCAATTAGGCACAAACCCAATCATGCATATCACCGATGCCAGATAATAAAATATTTATTTATTTATTTATTTATTTATTTATTTATTTATTTATTTATTTATTTATTTATTTATTTATTTATTTATTTATTTATTTATTTATTCATTCATTTATTTATTTATTTATTTATTCATTTATTCATTCATTCATTCATTCATTTATTTATTTATTTATTTATTTATTTATTTTAATGCAAACAAATGGAAGGTTATAGATATTATATGATTTATTTATTTATGTATTGCTTGTTTGTTTGTTTGTTTGTTTTTCCATTTATTTATTTATTTATTTAAATATAATTTAACGGATGTTTATAGACGTTATTTGCTTAATTATTTATTTATTTACTGTTTTTCCATTTATTTATTTAAATATAATTGAATGGATGTTTATAGACATTATTTATTTATTTATTTAAAGATAATTTAAAGGGTGTTTATTTATTTATTTATATTTAATTTATCAATAAACATTAAAACATAATTTATTACATTATTTATAATACTATTTTAACAATTTTCTATGTATCTGTCTGTTTATCTGTCACACACACAAAGAAACTCTTACCTGTCCAAGATGCCAACACAGTCTTGTATCCGGGGTCCAGTACAGCTGAAACACAGGCCATCAAATTGAATTATAAACCATGTATTGGAGTTTCATTTCAAAACACTGGTAGATTAAAACATTAAGACACATAGCATTAGCATGATACTCAGTTACTTGCAGTTACTGAAAAGTTTGTGCTGCTAGTAAACAAGAGATATTAATAATAAAAAAAATGCCTGAGCTTACATAATACAGAAAGATTCTAAAGGTTTATTCTCAGTTAATGGTAGCAAATATTAAAAATCTGTTTAGTCATTTCCAGTCCAAACATCATCAGAATGGATGTTGGAGAGAATTGGACATGATTTGTTGGAGATGAGATGACTGAATTGGCATGATATGTCTGAATTGGCATAAGACAAGGAACACTGTGGCACAAAAAGATTCAATTAAAAATGTTTTAATAATTACAGTATATTCATTTTAATATGTAAAATGCTACAGTATGGCTCCAGGCACTGACCATGGTGTGTTTGCCATGAAGCTTATCATGTATCTTAAGCACATGCTGTCAATGTCAACAATTCAATGTCTGCTTTCAATGACTTTCCCTCAGGAGCACAGATCTGCAATCTGTCCTTAAACTTGAAATAAAAAGCTTAAATTAAGCTATTTCTTTTTGCAATGTTTGGTCATTTAGCATGTTTTAACTGTTATAGCACCACCTATGGTCCAATACTATTCATGTGTTTGTTTTTTTTATTTATTCCTTTTTTTATTATTTACTTATTTATTTAATTTGCGATTAGTAAACAATGAGTAAAACAAACAATTAGTAAACTAGCAAATTAGTAAAATACTATATATAACAAACTAATTTGAAAAATGTTATTGCTATGTATTTATATACAGTGGTCCCTCATTATAATATGATTTACTGTTCGTTGTCTCACAGTTTCACCGATTTTTTGTGCAATTTGACATGCACTTTTTTTTTTTTAAAGAGTTTTGTTCTGCGTCCTGACTGGCTGTAGACCATTGTCATTCAATCTCCTCCGTGTCTCCTGTACAGTACTGAATGTGTTCAGCTTAGTAAATTAACACAAATCTTTGATACCTATCAGTGTGAGTTCCTATAAAGATGAAAAAAGAGTTTTTAAGTGTCCGCAACAAGCCCACCGTAAAAGGGGTCGCACAACGGATTATAAGCCTTTTGCTGACAGCAATAAATGTCTGACAACAGGTCTTGATCTTTGGTTTCATTCTGTAATACTAGACTAATTTTTCTACAAAAGTGTGAACTGAGAGAGTGTGAAAATGGTAATTTCTGTCTGAGAATAAAGTGTGTAGTGAGTGGTTTTACACCCCTAAAACATCTATAATATGTGTAAAAAATAAAGCGGACTACTTAACATTTTTAAACATAATAGTTTTAATAACAGTAAATAACAGTGATATTGCTGGGTGATGGCGCTGCAGATGTTAAGTCATCGTAATGCATGTGTAAAACAATGCTTGAACACAGTTTTTTTTTGTTCACAGTTTTTTCTTTCATTGGCATTATACTCAACGACAAAACTGAAATGTCTGCACAACGCAGATTTGAAAGACGCCACGCTTTCTCGTACTGTTGCCTCACTTCGCTGGCGCTTTCTCGTACTGTTGCCTCCTTTCACCGCCGTTCGCCATGTTAAAGTGTGGAATAGTTAAGTATCCTCTAATTTTAGAGCATAGTAATTGGATATTTACTTGCGGGGAGATATAAAACGCACATAAATTATTTAAACGTAAAACCGAGAAAGCCGCAATTCACAAGCACATATTGAACTGTGTATGTCGTACTGAACTGTTCAACATATTGAGAATTGTGGCATCCCTAATATATATATATATATATATATATATATATATATATATATATATATATATATATATATATATATATATATATATATATATATATATATATACAGTGTTTAAGAAAGAAGTAACTATATATTTATTTATAGTTTAAATACATTTTTAAGTTGTAAAAAATATATATAACAATATAAATATTAATAAAATGTACATTTCTTCTCAGCATCTATGTTTTCTGCAGTTAAGATTTATGAATTCAGATTCAAGATTTGTAGTTATCAGTACACATACTGTTTCTGTTATACGCATCACAATAAAAGAGTTGTTGGAAGGCCCACATAGAATCTGTGAATTTTACAGATTTCCGCAGATTTTTAGCCCATCATTGACTCAATGTATTTATTTGTGTAAATGTGTGTGATTTATATTTATTTAGTTTTTAAATTAATTTCACTAATATCATTGTGCTATAATAATATTAATATTGAAATGTTCATTTGATTTATTTACAATCCAGTTTGTAAAGTAACATTTTCTGTCTTTTAGTAGAAATATTATATGAGAGACTTGCTTTGTTTACCAAATAAGTGGATCTAATTGGAATTGCATTGTAAACATTCAATAATAGTTAAAATGTGTTATTTTTTTATTTCATACATTAAGTTTGTAGTTACAGTATGATACTCCTAAAATTTCCGCATAAATCCTCAGATTATTTACAAAACTCTCAGCAGAAATAGCAAAAAAATCTGCAGATTCTGTCTGGCCCTAGTTATTGGTTATTATTATAGGCCAACAATTCTGCCTCAGCACATCCCTTTCAAACACAAGCTACAATATGATCATTTCTACAAATAAAACGGACAGTTTAGCATACTATGTAACATTAAGAAACATTGCATCAAACATATTTCTGTCCAGTGAGCAATTGTAGCTCTGCATTGGATTGTCACACGATGTCCGATACAAAATGCGGGTCCTGCAGCGAAACCGGTTGCAAGCCACTGATCTGAGAAGTCAGGAACCTGTTCAAATCCCCCAGGCCCATGTGTCTAAGACTGAATGCACTAACCACGATAGCTTTACCCACATGGGCAATTAGGTTAGTGCTCTGGGCATACTGTGCTTGATGCAGTTAAAGGAAGGAAAGAAGCTTACAAATAGATTTAAGTGCAAACACAAGCAAACAGTCGTACCCTTGGGTGCAGTTGGGGTGGCAGGGATGGCACTCGTTGTTGGTCTCAGCATATTTGAAGATAAAGCTGTTTGCTCCCTGCAGACCGTCAGGGCATTTCTCCACACAGTTGGGCCCGTCTTTGAGATGCAGACACTTCACACAGTGATCTGGACCCTGTAATGAGAGACGGGAGATTAGGAAATGTGAAGCGTCTCAAGAGAACGAAGAACTGCTTTAAATGCGGAAAGGAAGCATTTAGTTAAACAAACTCAGTTATGTAATTCAAGGACGCGTTGGTTGTTTTGTATTTTCATGCTTGTTTTCTCTAGTGTGTGAATATGTAACAGATTCAAATGCAAAAACTACAATTTGTGAAGCTCTAAAGGAGTTTTATGGTTCCTAGATGCAACTCATTTCCATTTTTCAAACTACACCTACAAAATTATAGGGTTTATATGGAATTTATTGTAATTAAAAATACATTGACTATGTTTACATGGACATCATTAATCTAATTATTTGCCTTAATCTGAAGAAGACAACGTATTTACATGAGTTGCTTTTTGACTGCTCTTTTCATGATCCCGTTTTACATGTTATAGCACATAATTCGATTAATGTCATTACCTCACTGTGCTATTCTTGTTTCCTACTTAGTTTCATGTTATTTCTGGTGTTTGATTGTTAATTTGTCGACTTTAACTGCAGTTTGGTACTTTCACTTTCATTTAGGAACATTTAATTCATGCCCCTCGTGACAAAAAATGAGGTATTGGATGTGAGTATGAACTGCTAGGAGAGTGTTGTTTTAATGGAATATGATAATGAACACCATACGGAGATAAAAACCCTTATCATTTGTCTGTAGTCGTTCTCTAACTCGGTAAGTACAGACAATAGTGTCAAACAGCTGTGTGTGTATGGAATATCCTGACGCAAAATGCGGCGAAAATCCTACATGATGGTAATATGCAATGTTTATGTGTCTGTGCCGCACTAAAAAATAGATTTAAAATCTAGATCTTAAAATCGATTTAAAAAGACTAAAATCGGCACGCTCTTTATTCGATTTCTGTTTAGTTTGAGTTAAGGTAATCAAAAAACACTGTTTATATGGTAGACTCTAAATCAGAGTATTTTCTTAATCATATTAAAATCATATTATTTGTGTCCATGTAAATGAACTTTTTTCTCAGTCTTCAGTGTCACATGATCCTTCAAGAAATCTTTCCCTCATGAAAATTTTGCGGATTTGTTTTGCTTTTTTTTTTTTTTTCAAAACTGATATATTTTTCAAGATTAATACTTGATTTTAACTATACATGTAATAGTAATGTGAAAGTTTTTGTTGTTGTTGTTATTAACTGACTTCATGCATACCTGCGGAATCTTAGTATTAAGGTAAGGTAAGTATTAAGGTATTTTATGGTTAATCAATTTTTAACTAAACACATGGCAATTTTTTTTCACCCATTTTATTGTCCTACAACCAAAATAGAGATTCAGTTCCCTTGCTTCTTCTGCAAAAATAAATAAATAAATGACTGAATAAATAAATAAATGACTAAATTAATGAATAAATAAATAAATAACATCAAATACATAATGGAATAAATAATTAAATCAATCAATAAAATAAATTAATAAATATTTAAATAAATAAACAATTAAATAACTGAAAGAATAAATAAATAAATAAATAAATAAATAAATAAATAAATAAATAACCACAAAACAATAACAGAATAAATTAAATAAATAAATAAATAAATAAATAAATAAATAAATAAATAAATGAAATAAACAAACATTTAAATAACTGAATGAATGAATAAATAAATAACAATAAAAAAATACAGTTGTGACTCAGTTGTGAGATATTTTTAATAACACTTTATTGTCAAATCACTCTCAAAAATACTTAATTTTAAATAAAACTCAATTGCACAAACGCAGGCTGTTTTGCGATGTAATAGATTTTATAAAGTAGTTTGATTTTGATTTGTGCATTGCACCAATAACTATTTAAAATGATTAAACAATCAAGTTAAACACAACTAACACGCAACCTCTTTTTCAACAATATTAAGCAACTACAGTATGTAATACAGCATGGTTTGCCAGGCCTTGCATCATTTAACACAGCCTGACGATGATACATTCTGAGTATAAATTAATTTTGAGACTGTAAGTGGATAGTGTAATTTGTTTCTAATCAATATCACTCAGTTTTGTGCTAAAAGCAATATCAAGCTGTGAAGAGACAAAGAAGGAATTGATGCTGTTTTTCAATGTCAATGATTTCAAGTTTTAATGAATTCCAATAAAATCCAGCAACAAATATAGAGCTTTTTAGTTGCTTACCGGGCCATGGCAGGTTAAACCTTTCTCTCCAGCTTTTTCACACTGGCTGTCACACTCCACACACACCGAGCCGTTGGCGAACTCTCGAACATCACTAGAAAACATCAAGAGCACAGCCTTACTATTAACTATTTAATGGACACATTATTATTCATTTATTCATTCATTTTCCTTCAGCTTAGTCCTATTGTTCATTAGGGGTCGCCACAGTGGAATGAACCGCCAACTTTCTAGCAAACGTTTTGCACATTGGATGCCCTTCCAGCAGCAACCCATAACTGGGAAACATCCATACACACTTATTCACACACATACACTCTGGCCAATTTAGTTTATTCAATTCACCTATAGCCTTTGGACTGTAGGGGAAACCGGAGCACCTGGAGGAAACCCACGCGAACACAGGGAGAACATGCAAACTCCAAACAGAAATGTCAACTGGCCCATCCGAGACTCGAACCAGTGATCATGGATGCATTAGAAATAATATGCACTGTCTGCATGGCAATGAAGGCATTTGTGCATATCAATCAGATGCTAGTGTGATTAGTCTAAATCTAGGTCAGTTAACTAAAGAGACACACAAGAAAAGCCGTACAAATCCATGAAAGTGGAAACGGCTTAAGGAGCTGTCGATTCTGCTTTCATTTGTTTCTGCTGTTGATACTTTCATTGAGGGCCTCAGAAAAAGAGTTTTCGATGAGCACAGGAGGAAAGCTTGTCAATAAAGTCCTGAAAAAAGCATCTGGGATGGGAAGAAATCAAATGTCCTGTGCAAGAAGGCCAATTTCACATCCAAACACTGCAGATTTTCATCCAACATCAAGCCAATGCAAAATCTATTAGTTTATCTTATAAGGAAATATACACATCTTAAAGTCAGAAGCGGTAATATAACAGATGCACAATACTATTGCTCATTCTTAAACAAACAAATAAGCTAACTAACAAATAAACAATAAAAGCAAACAAGCAAGCAAGCAAGCAAGCAAGCAAGCAAACAAACAAACAAACAAACAAACAAACAAATAAATAAATAAATAAATAAATAAATAAATAAATAAATAATAAATAAATAAATAAACAAAAATTTAATAAAAAAATAATTTCCCATAGATGGGTTGCGGCTGGAAGGGCATCCGCTGCGTAAAAACGTGCTGAATAAGTTGGTGGTTGATTCTGCTGTGGCAACCCTGGATTATAAAGGGACTAAACTGACAAGAAAACGAACGAATAAATAAATTAACAAATTAGCTTACCAAAGTTTTATTTTATTTTATTTTATTTTATTTTATTTTATTTTATTTTATTTTATTTTATTTTATTTTATTTTATTTTATTTTTCTCCCTTTCCAAACTTGCCCACCTCATTTCCCCCCAAATTAACAAACAAACAAACAAACAAACATAAATAAATAAATAAATAAATAAATAAATAAATAAATAAATAATTAAATAAATAAATAAATAAATAAATAAATAAATAAATAAATAAATAAATAAATAAATAAATATTGTTTTTTTGACAACATCTGAATGGGGAATTATTCTTGACAGGTCATTTTTAGGTAAATAGCAAGCACTGAAGGTCTATTTGATGATGCAAATCAATGGAAATGTGTTAGTAGTTGTTAATGCAAGACCATAATATAATTAAAATAATAAAATGTCCATATAAATAAATGAATGAATAAATAATTAAATGAAACAAACAATTTTATTAGGAATTTGCAAGAAATGTTTATTTATTTTTTCCTCTCTTTGCAAACTTGTACCCCTCACATTTGTCCAAATTAGTCATTTTTTTAATTCTAAACAAATGATAATGTACTTTTAATGCACAGCATTTTTTTTTAAATATCTTACAATATTCTGGAACAAAACAGATATGCACGGCATATGCCAACAAACCCTTTTTTTTAGCCTGTTCTTTTCAATGTCAGTTTCTATGTCTTCATGTTATATATATTTTTTTTTTCAACCCGCCAGAATAGCCTGAGAGCCTGATTGTCCCTTTGAGTTGAAATAGCATTAAAAGCATTTTGTTCTTTTGATCTTAATACTCTGATTATAATCATATCTTTGGAACCAGTTGCTCATTTGAACAAATCTGCATCCGAAAAAAATACATTTACAAAAAGGAAAGCTAAAGCTTTTTTAAAAAAGAGCAAGAACTTAAAAGAACTTGAAAAAGAAGCAAACTTGAAAAGCTGTGTAGATCAGCAAAGCATCAAAACTGATTAGTTTGCACCAAAACTCACCCGTAATACAAGTTACAGGACTTGACACAAGTTTTTCCTCGGCTGAAGTATTTGCAGGACAGACACTGGTCTGGACCAGGACCCCAACATCCAGCCTCTGAACACAGTGGATCACATATCTTCTGCTCTTTAGCTGTGAAAAAAAAAGCAAAAATAAATAGTTCATTCATTTGAAATGAGCTTGTATGGTAGTAAATTAATGGTGTGCATGGTAGCATGAAAACTTGCATTTTGTGGAATAGTTTTTATTCAAATTGCCTCCAGAAAGCATGGCAGTTTTTTTTTAACCAACATCTGAATGGGGAATTATTTAGTAACTGTGGTAGCTATTATTTATGAAACTCTTGACAGGTCATGTTTAGGTAAATAGCAAGTACTGTAAGTCTATTTGATGATGCGAATCTAAGGAAATATGTTAGTAGTTGTAAATACATGACCATAATACTTAAAAAAAAATAATCATAAAAAATAATAATAAAATAAAAACTGAAATAAAATAAAATAAAATAAAGATTAAGATTAAAAATATAAAAAATATATAAAAGAAAATAAAAAAATATAAAATACAAAATGCATAAAAAAAGTAAAATGAAAAATGTAATTACATTTAAAATTTATATTTAAATTTAATTTAATTAAATAAAAATGTAAAAAAAAAAAAAATATATATATATATATATATATATATATATATATATATATATATATATATATATATATATATATAAATGTAAAAAGCAATATAAACTTTAAATGAAATTAAAATTAATTAAATGTATAAACAAACAAACAAACAAACAAACAAATAAATAAATAAATAAATAAA